GCACATGCCTATAATTACAGCACTTGGGAGGCTGAGGCAGGAGGATTGCTGTGAGTTCAAGGCAAGCCTGGGCTACATAGTGAGTTCAAGGCCAGTCTGAATTACATAGCAAGACTTTGTCTCAAAAAATAAAAAAATAAAAAAAAAATAAAACCCCCCAAAACTGATCTACATGTTTTGATTTAATGTTAACTGATAAAAGGTTCATTATAAATTTATACTGATTTTTAATACTAAATGACCTCTGGCTCTCAGTTAATACATTTTTGCCTTGAGAATCTGGCTTTGTCTCATATTAATGCTATGACGCATGTTTTTTTTTGTTTTTGTTTTTGTTTTTTTTTGGTACTGGGGATTGAACTTGGGACCTTTCGCCTGCAAGGCAGATGGCAGAACCACTGAGCTAAATCCCCGGCCCCTAATCCATGGTTTTTTTTTTGGTACCGGGGATCAAACTTGGGTCCTTGCACTTGTGCAGCAGGTGGCAAAACCACTGAGCTAAATCCCCGGCCCCCTAATCCATGTTTTATTGTCTGACATACTTTTGTCTCTTTACTTTTAACATTTATAACAACTTTATTGAGATATAATTTATACTTCGCATAATGGTATAAATTATATTATGTTTTCTAAGGGCTGTCACAAATTACAAATTTGATGGCTTAAAACCACACAAATTTATTTTATTGGTCATACTGGGCTAAAGTCAAGGTTGCTGGCAGGCTGGATCCTCTGGAGGCTCTTGTGAGAACCTATTTATTTGCCTGGTCTAGCGTCTGTCTGGCCTGTTTCTCTAGTTTCCAACCTCTTCCTGGTAGCCACCTTCTTGCATCCACCAACACATAATACTTATATATCAATTTCCTTTTGCCTCTCTCTTATAAAGATACTTGTGATTACATTTAGGGTTTACCTAATCTCCCCATTTTGAGATTTTTAATTTCATCATGTCTGCAATTTACCTTTTTACCATACAAGATACCATTCTCAGGTTCTAGGGTTAGGAACTGGAGCTGGGAGACCATTGTTCAGCTCATCATACTGTATAATTCACTCACTTAACATGTACAATTCAGTATATCAGAGAGTTCTATAGCTATCATCACAATCTAATTTTTTTGGTACTGGGAATCGAACTCAGGACCTTGCGCTTGCCAGACAGGTGCTGCCTGAGCTACATAACCAGCCCCCACAATCTAATTTTAGAACATTTTTCTCCCCAACAAAAGAAACTCTGTATCATCTGGCTGTCACTCTCATTCCTTCCTCTCCCTTCCCAAGCTCCTGGCAACCAGGAATCTACTTTATATATAGATTTGCTACATTGCATCTAAATGCAATCATAATATATGGTCTTTATTTTTTGTAGAGCTGGGGAAATATCTGGTTCTTTGTGATTGATTAGGTTCTTTCACTCAGCATGATTTCAAGGTTCATGTATGATATAGTATATAACCATATTCCTTTTTTTTTCTGGATAAGCCCGTTGTATAGGTATACCACACTTCATTAATTTATCCATTGACAGATATTTGGGTTGTCACCACTTTTTGGCTATTATGACTAATCCTGCTCTGAACATTCTATGCAAGTTTGTGTGTGAACAGGTCTTGAGTTCTCTTGCGTACTGCTTAGGAGTAAAATTGCTGGAACAAAAGATAACTCTACTTTAAATATTTTGGGAAATTGTTGAACTATTTTCCAAAGAAACTACACTACTTTACATTCTCAACAGCAATATATAACTGTTCTTTACATCCTTGTTGTTGAAGTTTATATCTAGATGTCCCACCAAAGCCTCATGCCTCACAGGTGGGCTCTGGGGAGTGACTGGATCATGGGGCAGAGATACTCAGCAATGGATCAGTCTGCTGATGAGTTCACAGCTAAATGTGAAGTTAGGAAGTGAAGCCTGGTTGGAGAAGGCCACTGGGGTGTGCCCTGCAAGGTTTATCTTTCTCAGCTATTCCTATCACCCTCTCAGCTTCCCGCTGCCACACCACGAGCAATTCTCCTCTATTGTGCCACTCTGCCTGGGGGCCAGCCCACCATGGACTGAAACCTCTACAAACTGGTAGCCAAAACAAACCTCCTAGGGCTGGGGATTTAGCTCAGTGGTTCCGCTGCCTGCTTCGAAAGTGCAAGGTCCCACCCCATCAAGAATTTGATCACTGGTACCAAAAAAACAAAAAACACCTCCTTTATGTCATGGGTTTTGCATACTGTATTACAGCAAAGAGAAAGTAACTAACAGATTTTGGTATGAAGAATGGGGCTGTTATTCTAGCAGGTGTGAAGTATTCTCATTTCCTTAATAACTAATGATCCTTTATCATTATTTGACATTAGGAAAGTGAAAATAAAAATCTCATTTTCAATGATAAATGACTAATAATAATTAATGATAAAGATTAGGGCCGGGATTTAGCTCAGTGGTTCCACTGCCTGCCTTGCAAGCGCAAGGTCCTGAGTTCGATCTATCTCTAGCACACCTCCCCCCCAAAGATGACTATATAGTGCTCATTTTCTTTTTGGTCATTTTTATGACTTTCTTGGAGAAATAGTCAAATCTTTGCACATTTTATTTATTTATTTTCCCCAGTACTGGGGATTGAACTCAGGACCTTGTGCTTGTGAGTCAGGCATGGTGCCACTGAACTAAATCCCCAGCCCTCTGCCCATTTTAAATTGGGTTGAGTTGTAAGAGCTCTTTTTTTTTTTTTTTTTTTAAGGTAAGATCTCCTGTTGTAGTTCAGGCTGGCTCTGAACTCACTACATAGCCCAGGCTGGCCTTGAACTCATGACGATCCTCCTGTCTCGGCCTCCAGAGGGCTGGGATTACAGGCGTGTGGCATCACATCCAGCTTGTGTAAGAGTTCTTTATATAGTCTCCATACAAGTTTTTGTTATTAGATATATAATCTGCAAGCATTTTCTCCCATTCTCTGGGTTGCTTTTTCCTTTCTTGATGGTATCATTTGCAGCTGTTTTAACATTTCTGCCATGTCATACAACTTGAATAGTTATATTTTGATTGGGACTAATGTTCCAATCTGAAAGAAAATCTTTGAATTTAACAAAGCATCTTAAACTATTCATATTTATAGTTTACAACAGAATGGGGAGGGGGCTGGGGATTAAATCTAGGCCTTTGTGTTAAGTTACATCCCTGGCCCTTTTTTTTTTGGAGGCAAAGTCACCCAGGCTGGGCCTCCTAGAGTGCTAGTATTACAAGCATGAGCCACCACACCTGGCTTACAACAGTTAATTGGTCTTACTTGTACTTTTATTTATTTATTTTTGGTGTTTTTGAGACAGGGTCTCACTATGTAGTTCAGGCTGGCCTTGAAAACTCACTAGGTAACACACACTGGACTCAAACTCAGAGATCCTCCTGCCTCAGCCTCCCAAATGCTAGAATTACAGGTTTGTGACACCACACCTGGGATCATTTGTATTATAGTGTTTTATATTTTATAACTGTGCATGTGTATTAATTTCTTCTGTTGTTCTTTATCTTTTGTGTGTGTGTGTGTGGTACTGGGGAGCTAACTCAGGACCTTGTGCTTGTGAGGCAGGCACGGTGCCACTGAGTTAAATCCCCACCCTGTTCTTTATCTTTTGTATAAAGACTTTGTGGGGGTTTTCTTCCTTTTTTCTTTAGTGTTCTAGAAGACATGTTCTGCTTCTGATTTTTCTGGTATTTGCATTTTTAACCTAGCTTTATCAAGCATCAGTCAATGGTAAAATATATTCTGCTATTATTTTAGTAGTCTATTCTGTTTACAGATATATCTTTTTGTACTATATGAAGGAAATCAGCAGTTTCTCAAAAACTTTCTTTTGAATTTTTCAACAGTAATTTTCAGAGGTATTTGGGTCTTCTAGTTGTGTCTTTCATGGATCATATTATCATTCTTATTGGTAGCAGCACTTTTTAAATTGTCTGGTTTTTTGGTTTTTTGGGTTTTTTTTGAGGCAAGGTCTAGCTTTATATTTCAGACAGCCCTTGAACTCACTATGGAGCCCAGGGTGGCCTCCAACTCACAGCAATCCAGCCTCAGCTTCCTGAGTGAGGGGATTTCAGGAGTGCACCACCACACCCGGCACAGCACTGTTTTAGAAAAGAAGATATGCCCAGATTTCATATTTATCAACAATGTGATGATAAGGGCTGCTTGTCAGGCATGGTTGGAACTAGAAGCCTTCTACCACATTCTCTTAAGGAAAGGTCCTAATATTTGCAATCCTAGGACCTCAGAAATTGGGAAAACTCAAAACAAGACTCAAAAACATTAAGAGATAGCCAGCTGGCGCTGAGGATTTAGCTCAGTGGTTCTGGTGCCTGACTCAAAAGTGGAAGGACCCAAGTTCAATCCCCAGTACCAACAAAAAAACAAACAAAAGAAATAGCCAGCTGTGGTAGTACATGCCTGTAATCCTAGCACTCAGAAGGCTGATGCAGGATGACTGCTTGTGCCCATGACTTCAAGACCAGCCTGAGCAACACAGCAAGTCCTCATCTCAATCAATCAAATTTCAAAGTAAAAAATATTCAAATATATTTCTAAATTGAAGCATAATGTTCAATTCTTTGAAGAAATGTAAGAAGTTTCATATATTTGTAATTTTATCTATTTGCAACTCAAATATCTGGTCATTAAACATTCCAAAGTTTGTCTCATTAAGTTAACATCTTGAAATGATCTAGCATTTTGCTTTGGACATAAATCAGTAATTTTCTTACAAAATTTTGCATTTTTTTCTCAACAGACAAAAACATTATCTTTCTTCCCACTGTATCTAGTTAAGGAAAATACCGTATTATAGTAATGATCCTTTTTATTTTTATCTGCATAAACAGCTTTGAAGACCAGTCCCCATCTTCCATCCTTGGATGAAGGAAGGGTAGAAGCACTAACTACTGAAGTGAAAAGAGGATCAATAACAACCCACACAGAGTAAAAGGCAATTTAGAACACAGTTTTGTTCTAACTTACCACATTTTCCAAAGGTGCTGCACCAAACACCTTAAAGACGGGGTTGGGTTTGGAGGGTGAGATACAGAGGACAATAGCTTGCTGTCCCACTCGAGTAGTATATTCATCTAATGTAGCTCGAAGTTTCCTGAATCAGAGTGGAAAAAATAAAAACAATTAAAGTAGACAGACATTACAGTGACATAGGTTAAACTTCCTTTAGCTTGAGACAATTATTCCTAATAACATATGTGTAGCTTTACCCTAAACGTGAAAAGGGGTGTGCTGAAGTGTGATATCCTCTTCAGCAAAAGTATGTATACACTTCTCTTAAAGACCAACAGCTAGCCCCCTGACATGAGTGTTTCCTGTGGTTTTGTCCGGGGCCGCAGGTGTGATGATTTTGAATACAGCAAGTATCATCCTTCCTGATCTTACCAAGACCAGCCATTGGTACTTAATGAGGATTCATGCTAAAATATCTTCTTACGGACATCATTATATCATCTCCATGCTTATGAAGGGCTCAAATGACTTGCTTCTAACTTCTTTTACTGATACAGTCATTGCTTATTTTTCACTAACGTTTTAATGAATATTACTCTAAAAACACTGTGCTTTCAGATTTTCACTGTGACATAAACAATAATTCTACAGGATTCCACTAATGAGGACGTAATGAGAAGAGCTTTGACAAACATAGCAGCCCCCCTTATCTGTAAGAAACATGACCCAAATCCCCCAGTGGATACCAAAACATATACACATACACCAAATACACACACACACACACACACACACATTTTTCCCTATACATAGATACTGCTGATAAAGTTTCACTTATAAACTAGGTACAGTAAGAGATTAGCAATAACTAATAATAAAATAGGATAATTATAACAATATACTATAAGGGGTTATTTAAAAGTTATGAAGTATTTACTCTGGAATTTTGCACTTAATTTTTTTCAGACTATGTTTGACCACAGTTAACTAAAACAACGGAAAACAAACTCACATATAAGAGATTACTATAGAGCAACAATGCATGAAACAGAAACACTGTTCTTTTCCTCTTCATCACAAAAGATTATCCTTTAGTTCTACATTTCATAATTCTTCTGGGAATACAGTCTACACCTTAAGGTAGTGGTGGGCAAGGGGCCACATACCAAACAAGAAATCTGTAGCATTCTTTGAAGGAATGGTTCATATTTATTGTCTCCAATTCCTCCTGTTGGTTCTCTCTTGAAGACACTCCAATCCTTTTACTTTCATCATTCCCTTAAAAACTCTCTTGTCCAGTTTATCTAATGGTCAATTTGTACCTTATTCAAGCTGTAAGCAGCATTAGACAGGGCTGATCACATACCCTCTTTGACATACTTTTTGCTCTTGGTTTCCAGCATACCACTCTTGTTTCTTCTCCTGACTCACTGGTTGCTTCTGAGACTTTTTGCTGGTTTCTTTCATCTCTCCAACTTTAAAATGATGGAGTCATTCAGGCCTACACACTACTCCCTAAGTGAACTCACCTAGTCTCATAGTTTTAAATGCTAGTTATCTGAGCTATATTCTTCTAATAGACTCAGCCAAGAATTCTCTTTTGACTTCCAGACTCATATACCAAGAGGCTTATTCTCCACTGCCACTTAATGGTTAAGAGGCATCACAAACTTAACAGGTCCCAAAACAAGGTCCTGATTCTGCCCCTACCCTCCCTATAATACCTGCTCTTTCTCTAGCAAATACCATCTCTATCCTGCTAGTAATCTGATTAAAAATCTTGAGGTTACTCATTTCTTTTTCTTCTCACACTCCATATCCAATCCATCACACTAAGTTGACTTCTGAAATAAATCCAGAATTTGACATGTTACTACCTCTGTTGCTATCAATTGGTTTTAAAACATCTATTGTTTCTGGCCCAAAGAACTATAATAATCTGATTCCTCTCTACCTATTTCCATTCTTGTACACAGAGTCTATTTTCAGTTCAACAGCCTGAGTGACTCTATTTTTTCTTATGCTGCTGAGATGGAGCCCAGCATTTTGTGTATGCTAGGCAAGAGCTCTACCACTGAGCTACACCCCCAGCCCATGTGGCTCTTTAAACATTTATGTCAGATTATATCATCACTCTGGTCAAAAGCATTCACTTTCTTCCTACCTTACTCAGAGCAAGAGTCAGACCTCTGACATCAGAGGACAGGACAAATTCATGAGGCTCTCCTTGACTATTCTGACCACATCTTGTTTCACGCTCTCTTGTGGTGGTTAACTGACTGTCAACTTGAGTGGTAAATCCCCAGCTGAAGTGAGTCAGCATGGTTCTGGACGTGGAAGACCCACCTAAGAAGGACTGTTGTCAGAATAATATAAAAGTAGAATGGGAGGGAAGGATTTCAGCTGATTTTCTTTTGAAGAGCTTTGGCCGTTTTCTTTCTCCAGAGGTGTTCTGGTCCTCTCCAAGTATGGTTGCTGTTCTATTCGGAGGAGCTCTGGTCTTTGCTTTCACCTTGGACATTGTCTCTTGGCTTTTGGGGCAGATTCTTCGGCTTCCAGCACTGGCTTTTCAGGTTGCAGGTAGAGACTCCCCCCTCCAGCATCAGCCCTTGGACTTTCTGGCACAGAGCCTTCAGTCTCCATTGGAGATTCTTCAGCCTCCTGATACGGACTCCTATGAGACACTGCTGTGGGCTCCAGGCCTTTGTTTGGATTCTTTGGGTCTCTAGTGCACAGACAGATCTTCTGGGCTCTTATACATTTGATTCCATGGACGGATATTATCAGCTAATCTTGTAAATTTCTCTGTTCTGCATTAAATCTGTTTCTTTTGCAAATGCTGAATACAACATCTCTCTAATGTGACTACCATATTTCTGCCACAGAGACTGGGCTTTTAATGTTCTTACTGCCTGCAATGCTCTTCCCTTAGACATTCACATGGTTGTTGTGAGTTATTTTTCTTGTTGCTGAGACAAAATACCCAACACCCAAAGTTAAAGAAGGAAAGGTTTATTCAGATCAACTGTTTGGAGAGGTTTCAGTCCATAGTCGGCTGGCTCCAAGGCAGGGTGGCATGGCAGAGGCATCACAGAGAACAGTCCACAGCAGAGCAAGGACTTTGCTTCTGCAAAGCAGGCAGAAGGCAACAAAGTAGCAAAAGAAGCAGCAAGCCACACCAGGAGCCCTCTTTCAGTCCTTTATAGTCTATGCCATGCTACATGCCCTTGGGGCCAGCAGCACTCACATCTAGGGTAGGCCTTCCTATTGTCCACACCCAGAACTATGCCAAACCAATCAGTGGACTAATTTAGTAATCACACGCCCTTAATCTCCGCATCACACACTCTAGATCCAGCCACCTTTGAAAAGCCCCACCTATGACCACATGAAGCTTTGGGGGACATCTAGACACAAGCTATGACATTCTGCCTCTGCCCCTCCAAAGACTCATGCACATCTCTTTATACAGTAGGCATTTAGTTCATCTCCAAGAGTTGCCAAAGTCCTAACAGTTTCAGCATTGCTGAAAAGCCCAAGTATAAAAGTCTCCTCTAAAATTTAGGCCAAATTCTTAGCTGGGAGTCCCCGTACAAACATTTCCAACATACAATGGCACAAGATCAACATTCTCACTCTAAATAGAGGACAGAAAGGAATGGGACCAAAGCAAGTCCAAAATCCAGCAGGGAAAAAATTATTATAGACAGCTAAGTCAGTTATTATTATTGTTGTTGTTATTGACAGCTAACAACAGCTATTTTTTAATTTTTTTATTTTTGGTACCGGGGATCAAACTCGGGACCTTGCGCTTGTGAGGCAGGCGCTGGAACCACTAAGCTAAATCCCCGGCCCTGACAGCTAAGTTATTGTAGACAGCTAAGTCAGTTAAACATAGGTCCTTATAATCCACAGGGACAAGCCCATTGTTGGACATGCTCATCTTTCCCTAAAAACACAATTACATAAACAAAAGGTGGGGGGACATTCCAACTACCTCCACAAACTCAATTATATTTTGTTACTTTCTCCTGTTACTTTCATTTTAAATTTTTTAAATCCACTTATGGAAGGTAAATATACTTCGTTGAAACTCCACTGATACAAAGATAGATCTACAGACATGTCCTAGATACTAGTGTTGTCAAAGTATATCCTAACTAAAAGGTAAATGCCTCAATACAATTAATAACATAGGGGCTAGGATATGCTTATTTTTAAATAAAAAGATGCTGTGGCCATCATCCCAAAGCATACCACCATGGACCAAGATGATAGATTAGCTGCAAGCAGCATGATGTGACACCCCTGCTAAAAGCCACGCAAAGGATGCATCTGAGCAACTCCCCTCGGCTGCCACAGCCCTCGGACCTGCAAAGATCACCAGACCTGATACATCGCCTGCTGATGAGACCCAGAAGCAAACAGGCCTCAAAGACAATTGCAGCTCACCCTGATGCAGCTGTCATTTCCAAAGATGGGGGAGATGCAGAGGACCGTAATATTGATTATACCCAAAGCAGACTGTGAAGAATTAACCCCACAGTTGGCTTGCTTATAAAACTGAGTCTAGCTAAAGCCTATGTGCTGAGGTCAGAATAACTCCCACCCAAATTCCATTCCCACAACTAAAACCTTCTGACTAGAAGGACAATGTTCTAATTACAACCATAAATTCTGTCTATTTTGCTCCTAATTTGAGAATGCTTTGTCTTGTCCTTTACAAACCTTGTTTACATTAATTTCCATTGAAACTGCATGTAGCTTGCCTCTATCCCAATTGATTGCCAATAAAAGTCAGTGCCTGGGACTGGCGAGTGCCTTTGTCAGTTGTACCGGCATCGGTCATCCTGGCACCCTGCTTTGTCTCTCTTAGTTCTGTCTTATTTTATTTCTCAGGCCCGCATCACATACTGGGCAGGATACTAAAACCTGACTACAGGAGTCTCTGATACTTTGGGTCTCTGTTCAAAGGCTGGCTTATCAAGGATTTCCCAGAACAACCCTACAAAGAAACTATTATGTCTCTTCACCTCCTGATTTTCATGTTTTCCTATTCCACTTTATTTTTTTCCACAATACTTATCATCATTTGACATATTTGCTTTCTTTGTCCCTTTATCAGAATATAAGCTCTTTTATGGAATTTGTTGTTTACTATTATGTTACCAATGCTAGAAAAATGCCTGGTACATAGCAGGAACAGAAATTTTCTTCAAATGAATTAAGGTAATATTATACATCTGTTAAATCATCTTTCTAGGTTTTCATCTATTTAATTTGAAGAGTCTAACTGTGTCTTTAAAGCCTTCAACCTGGTATTCCTGAGGAATCTAAAAACTCATGTTCTAACTGTCACCCATATATGAAGCAGTTGAGGAACAGAGCCATTACAGATAAGGAAGCCCTCACCGAAGCAACCGTGTTTGCTGCCTCTTCCGGATAGATGGATTAGACTCAAACACATGAGGCCGTTTCCGTTTCTTCCCTGTTGCCACAGCAGCCGCAGCAGCCATTCCCACAGGACCTGAAATAGTAAGTATGTGGTGAGATTAGGCAGAAGCCTGCAACTGTAACAGACTGAAAACAATTAAAGGCATAAAAAAGGTAGCTTTTCTTTCTGAGTATATTGTCAGTGAATACAGACGGTTTCTGCTATTACCAGTACATTTTACTATTGTTTCATATTGTGATTTACCAATAAAACTTACAATGAACCTTTTGAAAAGGAAATGACTTATACCTCCCCACCACACAACAGCTTGAATTTTGTAAAAGGCTGCTGTTCTGTTTTGCCAGCATGCCCATACTGTTATGGCAATATTCTCAGAGGTGCTAGGAACAATTGCAGCATTGCGAGGAAAGCCTGCCAAAACTGAAACAAGTTACTGGCTTCAAATTCATTTTCATTCCTGTGCCCTTTTTCCCATTACTCCAAGACACTGCCAGTTAAGAAACTCAAACATAATCACTCACTCTTGGAACTCCAACAATACCTGCATGAGGGTATCTAAGAGAATAACATCTTAACTGGAAAACTTTTCTTGCATATCTGGGAAATGTGCCAAAAATGGAGATGCTGTCCATAAGGTCAAGTTGATGAAAGTGTTCTGGCAGAAAAGTGATGAAAACTTTCTTATTCTAAGGAGAAAATGTTAATAAAAGTTGGATGGTTTGCTCTAAAATTAATGTACAATGATTTTTTGAAGGGTAAATGAAGGGTAACCCTTCAATACTGGGCTCCTACAATACTGGACTCTGATACCTGGGACCTCAATATATCAAAGACATTTTTTCCTTTTTAAAAAGGCATTTTACCGCTGAGGATTTAGCTCGGTGGTTCTGCCGCCTGCCTTGCAAGTGCAAGGTTCCAACTTTCTTCCCCGGTACCAAAAAAAAAAAAAAAAAGATAAAAAAGGCATTTTACCTTTATTCTAAATGGTGAACCCTATAAATGACTTCAATAAAAATTAAATTTAACTACTCCCATTTATACCAGCAAGTATATTCTAAGTGGTTGAATTAAAACAAGTTTTCCTGTAAACCTAGATGTTCATTAGTAGTATAATTAGTCTGACTTAAATATAACCCAAAAGATATGGTTATTTCCTTTCTATCACAAACATGATAGGGAAAATATCCTACTGATGCATTTTCCTTCCAGTATTTTATTTTATAGAATGGTGGGAAAAATATGTAACTTATGTATTGTGCATAACTGAAACTACCTGGTTTTTTGTTATTGTTTTGTTTTTCCAGGACTAAGGACTATAACAGGGCCTTGCACATGCTGGACAAGTTCTCTAACAATGAGCTGCAATCCCAGCCTGAAACCATCTGTTGAACTCTGCATATCTTCTTCCCCTCAGGCCCCAGCAGCCATTATTTTATCCTTTGCTCTTATGAGTTTGACTATTTAGACACCTCATCTATGTGGAATCATGAAGTAATTCTGTCTGTGACTTTCTTATTTCAGTTACCACAATGTCCTTGAATTTCATTCATGTTGCCATGTATGACAAAGTTTCCTCTTTTTAAGGTTGAATATTCCTTTCTTTCTTTTTCTTTTTTTTTTTTTGACATAGGGTCTCTCACTTTGTAGTTCAGGCTGGCCTCGAACTCATGGCAATCCTCCAGCCTTAGCCCCGTGAATGCTGGGATTACAGATGTGCACTACCATGCCGGGGTGAATATTCCTTTTTTATACATAGATACATACACATGTTCTTTAGCCATTCATCCATCAGTAATTCAGACTGTTTTCACATCTTGGCAATTACATATAATGAATGTACCAATGAATGGGGGAGTGGAAATAGCTTTCTAGGATCCTGATTTCAACTCTTTTGCATAAATAAGTAGAACTGTTGGACCATATAGTACTTCTATTTTTTTTTTTAGTTATCTATTAAATTCTTTTATTGGTACATTTTAGGTATACAACACATTTACATTTCTCATGGGGAACTTGTACCTTTACATGATGTATCTTGGTTCTTATTTAGTACTTCTATTTTTAACTTTTTGAGGAAATCCTATACTGTTTTCCATAGTGGTTGCACAATATAAAAATCCCCACCAATAGTGTACAAGGATTCCAACTGCTCAACAACCTTTCCAATATTGGTTATCTTTTTATAATAACCATCCCAACAGGTATATGGTGTTATCTTACTGTGGTTTTGATTTGCATTTCCCTGTGATGTTGAATATCTTTTTATATCCTTTTTGCCACTTGTATATATTCTTTGGAAAGATGTCTATTTAGGTCCTTTATCCATTTTGTTGTTGTGGTAGTTGGTTGGTTGTTTGTTTGAGACAGGGTCTCATTATATAGTTCAGGCTGGCCTTGAACTCATTATGTAGCCTACACTGGCTTCAAACTCATAGTGATCCTCCTGTCTCAGCCTCTGGAGTGCTGAGATTACCAGCATGCACCATCACACCCAATGATCCATTTTTAAAATCAGGTTATTTCTTTGCTATTGAGTTGTGTGTATGAAAACTTTCATACACATAAGCAATGTTGAAAGACTTTTAACATTTTACTGTACCTATGTGTCTATCTTCCTATTCATTGATCAATCCATATCATTCTTTATGCATTTCAAAGTAAACTGTAAATATAAATACAATATCCCTAAAACTTCAGTAAGCACATCATTAGCTAGAGTTCAATATTTGTTTGCATCTTTTCCCTTAGGTGACATTTACATGAAATACACAAACCCAAGTATATATTCAATACATTTTTGTCTTACTTGCTTATTTGGGGGTTGTTTTGTTTGAGACAGGGTCCTACTATGTAGTTCAGGCTAACCTTGAACTCACTATGTAGTCCAGGCTGGCCTCAAACTCAAGGCAACCCTCCTGCCTCAGCCTCCCAAGTGCTGGGATTGCAGGCATGTGCCACCATGCCTGGGTTGATACATTTTTTAAAAATGTATTCCATATGTTTATGAAACCCAATCTTCTATGAAGTGCAGCCACAGAAAGTTATTTCATATCTTTTCCCAGTCAATTCTCATATTTACTTCCCAAAGAGACTACTATTTTGATTTTTTTCATTCTGTTAGTCTTTCCTATTCTAGAACTGTAAATAAACAGAATTATATAGTATATACTCTTTTTGAGTAAGACTTCTTTCACTTAGAATATTTTTAGATTCATCTATGTTGCTCTATCTAGCAGTAGTTTGTTCCTTTCTATTTCTGGGTAACATTCCATTATAAAGATAAACCAACTTGTTTACTCATTATCTTATTGATGAACACTTGGGCTATTTCCAGTTTGAGACTATTATGGATAAAGATGCTGAATTTTGTCAATTATGAATTCAACACAATACAAATGAAAACTCCAATAAGGGTTTCTGTGGAATTTGATAAACTAATCTTAATTTTTAAATGGAAGTGTAATGGCCAAAAACAAGCAGAACAATTTTTTTTTCAGGGTAGCCTTGAACTCACTAAGTATCCTAGGTTGGCCTTGAACTTGTGGCAATCCTCCTGCCTTGGCCTCCTGAGTGCTGGGATCACAGGCATGCACTTCCATGCCCAGCACACAAAATAATTTAGAAATCATTAAGAACAGGAGGTGGGGGAACACTCATCCTACCATATATTACATAATCACTATAAAGCTACAGTTATTTAAAATTTGTGGAACTAGATCAAGAATAAATAATTAAACCAATACAACCAAATTGCAAAGTTTATAACCACCTTCCTGTGTCAGTAGATAGAGGTGGAAAATAAAAGACTATTAAAAATATGTTGTGGATTGTCCACGTGGAAAAATAAAACTATAACTCAGAGAAATGCAAGTTAAACCAATATTGAGATAGTTTCATCTCCAGATGGACAAAAATAAAAAAGACAGATACAAATGGATCTGGAGGATGAAAAACAACAGGCATTCTAGTACACTCTTTGTAGGAAGGTAAATTCATGGTGATTTGAAAAGACATTTGGTAATATTTAGTAAAGGTGAGTGAAAATGTGCCTACCTTTAGGTCTTCAATTCCCCTCAAACAGTGTTTTGCAAACTGCAAGTTGTGACCCTTTAGTGGTCCATAAGCAGTGTTTTTTCTAATAAAATATAATAAATTGGGCCATATCACAGAGTGTATTAACTGAAAAGGAGGTAGGTATTATTTTAGTCATATGTGTATTTATTTATTCTGGGTCACAGAGAAATCATACATGTAGACAATAAAACATGTAAAATAATTATTATCTGCAGCAATTCTAATAGCAAAAAATGGCATCTACCAAAAGAGATATTCAGATAACAAATGCAATATCAAATAACAGGTAAAATTAAAATATATATCATTATCAACAGGGATGAATTTTAGAAAAATGCTAAATGAAAGAAACATGTTAAAGAAATGTAGGATTACAGTGATATCCTTAATATGTAAAACATGCAAAAACAAGGCTAAACGTGTAATGAGGGCTGGGGATTTAGCTCAGTGGCACTGTGCGTGCCTGGCAAGCGCAAGGTCCCGAGTTCAATTTCCGGTACTGCAGCAGCCAGATGGGCTGTCACTTCGTCGGCTGCAGTGGAGTTGAGTATATCAGAATCATCATAAGAGGTGTCCTCAGGGGAGGATGGGGAGTCTTCATCAGCACTCAGCATGCTGTGCTCAGTGTAAGTGGCCACATGAACTTGCTGTACCTGCTGGGCCACTGCATGGGTTTCTATGGTCGCCATGTGTTCAGTCTGGGTCACTCCGTGCTCCTCCATGAAGATCTACTGTCAAAGAGGAAAGCAGTCTATCCACATTGAACACCACATTACAGTTTACAACCCAGGTTCTGGCACAGTGCTTTGAACGGAGTAGGTACCTCAAAGCAGCTGCACTACCGTGGGCCGGTCTAGTTTTAATCTTTGGCAAGTTGAAACCCAATTTTTCCAGCATCACTTATTAAAAAGGCTATCTTTCCTCCAGTGAGGGTGTTTGGCTCCTTTGTTGAAGATGAGATGGCTGAGTGTGTCTGGAGTTGTTTCTGTGTCTTCTAATCTGTTCCACGGGTCCTCAGGTCTGTTTCTTTGCCAGTACCATGCTGTTTTTATCACAGTAGCTTTGTAGTATAGTTTCAAATTGGGGCTTGTGATACCCCCTGCCATAAGACTGGATTAATATTAAAGAATCAATGTATTGATTTCAATAATGGACCATATTAATACCCTACAGTATCACATAATCATATCAATTGATACTTTAGAAACATTTGGAAAAATTCAAAACTAATTCATAACAAAAATTTCTTGAAATATAGAAATGGGAAGTATTTCTCAATTTGATAGAGAATAGAAAAAACATGAAGGTGACATTATGCACAATGATAAAAGACTAAATACTTTCCCTCTACAATTGGTAACAAGGGAAAAAGCATTCACTCTCACCATTCTTATCTAACATAGTACTAGAAGTTCTAGCCAGTGCAATAAGGGAATAAAAAGAAATAAAAAGCATGAAGATAAGAAAGGAAGAAATGAAACTGTCCATAAATGCAGATGTTTTTGTTTGCATAGAAAATCCCAAGAAATCTACAAACCAAGAATACTAGAGTAAGTGAACTCAAGATCACAAAATATAAGAAAAAAATCAATTATATTTTATACAAGATTTTTTGTAAATGTAAACAAAATTATTCAAAAATGTAGATGGAAAGGCAAACTAACTAGAAAAGTCAAAACAATTTTGGAAAAAGAATAAAGTATCAGTCTACATGATTTCAAGACTTATTATGGGGTAAAATAATAAAGATTATGAAGTATTGGTGGGGGAATGGATGTAGGTCAACTGAAGAAAATAGAGAACCCAGAAATTGGTCCTCCACAATGCATTCAACCAACTGATTTTGGTCAAAAGCACAAAAGCAATTCAACAGAGAAAAGATAGTCTTTACATAAGTGGTGCTGATCCAAGTGAATATCCACAGAAGGAATAATTGCCTCATGCCTTATATAAAAATTAACTCAAGTGCTCACTTTGCCAGCATATGTACTAAAAAATTAACTCAAAACAGATCCTAGATTAAAGCTAAATGTAAAACTACAAAAGTTTTTGAATAAAACATGGGAGAAAATCTTTGCCATATAATATAGGACTAGGCAAAGAGCTTTTATACTTCACTCCAAAAATATGATCCACCAAAGGAAAACTGATATTTTGGACTTCATTAAAAATTTTCAAAATTTGCTCTGTCAAATACCCTATTAAGATAATTAAAAAGATAAACTACAGAGTGGGAAAAAATATGGGCAAACCGTATCAAAGCCCTAGTGTCTAGAATATGTTAAGAACTCTCAAAATTTAAAAGTAAATTAGAAAATGGAGAAAAGACACAAGAGAGCCTGGTGGGTGTGATGGTGCACATTTATAATCCCAGCACTTGGGAGGCTGAGGTAGGAGGATCAGTGTTAGAGGCCAGTGGCCAGCCTGGGCTACATAGCAAGACATTCCACTGAAGAATGTATACAGATGTCAAATAAACATGATTAAGATGATTGACAACTGTTGTGGTTTATATTTTAGATGTCTCCTCATAGCCTCATGCTCTTTTAGGTAGGGCTTTTGGAAAGTGACTGGATCATGGATGCATCATACTGGATTAAGACTGGATACAGACCTCTGATTGGTCTGTATAGCTGAGTGTGATGTTAAGAGGTGAAGCCTGGAGATTTGCCGCAGTGGAGCTCAGACAGCAACAGTAACAGAATCATGCTGGAGTTGCAAGCATTCACAAGTTACTCAGAATCCTAGTGATCTTAGTCACTGCCCTGCAGAGAAAGTTTGGCTGTGCTCTCCAACATTGTGGTGTGTACATTTGACTCCATTCCTCGCCATGTCTTCGCATAAGACTTTCAGGATCAGGCAATTCCTGGCCAAAAAACAAAAGCAGAATCATCCCATCCCTCAGTGGACTCAGATGAAAATTGGTAATAAAATCAGGTACAACTCCAAGAGGAGACATTGGAGACGTACCAAGCTGGGTCTATAAGGAATTGCACATGAGTTCACACACATACTTAAGCTGTATTAAGATCACTATCATTTTATTATATCAAGCTTGGGCCGGCGATTTAGCGCAGTGGTTCTGCCACCTGCCTTGCAAGTGCAAGGACCCAAGTTCGATCCCCGGTACCAAAAAAAAAAACAAAACAAAACTGATATTATGTCAAGCTTAGAATGTCTCAATGTTTAGACAGTTAGACATGTTTATTAGGAATATGCTTTTTGGTTTTGTTCAAACAGTTTGTACTAGTAGGTTGGATTAGTAATAAATATGTGGAACCTTTTGTTTGAAAGATAAAATTTTTGACCATGTGCTAGAATTAAAAAAAAAGGTGAAGCCTGGTGGGAAGAGGTGGGTCACTGAGGGTGTGGCCTGGAAAGTATATATCCTTCATCCTTCCCATGCTTCTCACCACCATGTCATGAACTGTTTCTCCTCTGCCATGCCATACTGGAGACCTCTAACAGTTAGGTTCCAGTATCCTGCCTAGTATACGATGCAGGCCTGAGAAAAAAACTAAAGGACAGGACTGAGGGAAAGCAGGGTGCCAGAATGACCAAAGGTAGTGCAACTGACAAAGGTGCTGGCCAGTCCCAGGCACTGATTTTTATTGGCAATCAATTGGGGTAAAGGCAAGCTAAATGTGAGGGCAGGACTACATGTGGTTTGTATGGAAATTAATATAAACAAGGCTTATAAAGGACAAGACAAAGCATTCTTGAATTAGGAATGGAATAGACACAATATATGGTTGTAATTAGAACTTTATTCTTCTAGTCAGGTTTTAGTTGTGGGAATGAAATTTGGTTGCAAGTTACTGTGACCTCCACACATAGGCTTCGGTCAGATTCACTTCTATAAACAAGCCAATTGTGGAGTTAACTCTTCACAGCCTGCTTTGGGCTTAATCAATATTATGGTCCTCTGCAATGCCATCCTGCCTTGTAGCCAGCCAACTATGGTCTGAAATCTCTGCAAAATGTGGACCAAAATAAACCTTTCTTTCTTAATTTGTGAGGTTTGCTACTTTGTCTCAGCAAAGAAAGTAACTAAGACAACAGCATTAGTCATTAAAAATATCTAAATTAAAAGTACATTGAAATACCTCTACCCATTTATCAGAATGGTTAAAATTTAAAAATAGCGTTAACACCAAATGTTGGCAGCAATAGAACTAGGTCACTCATTACTTGTTGGATGAATGTAAAATACATAACTACTCTGGAAATGACAAATTATAAAAAAGGGAAACAGATTAGTGATCCCAGAAATTAAGAAAGGGCTTAGGGTAGGAGAGCTATAACTAAATTAGTAGCATTAGGAATCCTCATTGTGATAGAAATGTTTTGAATTTTACCTGTATCAGTGTCATCATCCACTTGCAATATTGTATGAGTTTTGCAAGATACTATTATGGGAGCCTAAGTAAAATGTGTAGTAGATCTCTTTGTATTATTTCCACAACCACATTTGAATCTATAATTATCTCAAAACTCAAAAGTTTAATTTTTAAAAAACTGAAAAAATTCTGGTTAAGAAAAACAATTCCCTGATTCTATCATTTATAGTAATTATTTTTACAAGGTTTTAAGGGAACACTTTTATCTCCACTCTTGATTGGCTACTTAATCCCATCCACATTCCCCTTCTCCCACTAGAGGCAGAAATGAGACATAATTTTGGTCAGCAGAAAATAACCAGAAAAAGTCTATTGGACAATCTTCCAGGAAAGCTTTAGCTTCTCAATAAAATCATTCAGGGGTCCCTGGATCTAGCTCAGTGGCGCCACACCTGCCTTGCGAGCACAAGGTCTTGAGTTCGATCCCAATAGTAATAAATAAACAAACAAACAAATAAATAAATAAAATGGTTCAGGTTCAGTGGGCATGTCATTTTGCCTTCACTCTGCTCATTCACTCTGCTGTCTCTTCTTAGTGTGGAAGATTTGATACCCAGAGGTGCAGCAGCCATAAAATAGCTCTAAGGCAACAAGCAATAAAGGCAAATGCCACCATTCCAAGGTAGAGACAGCTAGAAAGAATCTGCACCTTGGCAGTGTCATTCTGCAGAGGCATCAATCTTGAGCTGTCCACATTTAGATTCTATGTAAGAGAAAAAATAAGTAAGAGCTTATTTGTTTAGACCACTATTGGTCAGATTTTCTATTACTGGGTGCCAACACATTTCTAACAGATTCTGACACTCACAAGAGACTCCTAGCAGGCTAATATACTTCCCCTACACTACAAGACTTAAGGGTAAAAAGTATACCTACTTACTATTCTTTGTGTGTTTCAGAAGCCAAATTGCTGATGCTGCCTTTTCCTTTTTCGCTAGCATTTTGTTTCTCATTCTCCTCAGGTTGGTCTGAATTTGTATTATAATCAGACTCTTGCCCGTTACTCTAATTGAATCAGGCTTTTGTTGCAGCTCAAGCAGCTCAGAATTTTTTTAATAGTCTTCCTAAACCATTCCAGCCCAAGGCAGCCGCTCCTGTTTGACCTCATGGCACTTAACTGTCTGCACCTCCCAATTGCCAATTCATCATGCACTGCCCCATGACACTTCCTATACAGCTGTCATTGAATAATCAATGTTTACAGCTGGAAGGAACTTCAGAGATCATTTTCTCCAACCACCTCAATGCATGTGAATTGTAACTTAACTCACAGATTTTTCTTTACCTTTTCATGGGTTTACTGCTTATCCTTGCAACCAAATCTTAAGCTCCTAGTAGAAAAAAAAACTAGGAAATTAATATTTGTTGAGTTGCCTACTACATGCCAGGTACCTGATACACATTATATAATTTCATTTTCACAACAATCGTAGAAATGGATATTACTACTCATTTGACAGGTGAAAACCTGAAACTCAAAAGAAGCTGCTCCTTAGCAAAAGCAAATTTACTAGAAAGAAGGGTAGTCTAGATTCTGACTCATGTCTTAAGATATCTAAGTGTATTTAACCTTCTCCCAGGTTACTGAATCATAACTTAAGTTTTGGAGTTCTTTAACCTATTTACGCCTCAAGAAAGTCTGCATTCTTCTCTTCATAATTTTTCTCTTTTGTGGGAGATTTAAAATATGTCAAATAGTCAAATAAGGCAATGATTCTTTGTTTTATTGTTAACATTTTTTAAGTGCAGTACTGCTGTAATGAAAATATCATACTGATTTTAGTGGAAAAATAACTAGATACCTGTCATGTTAAATGTTGGCAAAAATACATACATAATTAATAAAGAATAGTTTTAATTTTATCTGAATAGTAAAAGATAGAAGTACTTTGGAGATGGTACCTCTATAAGCTACTAGAGATAACTTGTACTACAAAGAAAAATAATTAAAATATTCAGATAAATGAAACAGTAGTTCCAAGCATCAAAGAAATGTTAGTAACTTTTGATTCCATTCAATAAACCAATTGTATCTTTACTTTTTTATGGGCAATATTTCATATTTTAATCTGAGCCTAGAAGATTTTTTTTTTTAAATTTAGAGATTGAAAGTTTTCAGTTACATTAAATTTTTACAGAATATCTTTAGTACCAGATTGGAGATTTAAATATAGGTGTGGTTTTTCTTTAATGACATTGTAATTGTTAAGGTAATAAGAAAAATATTAAGGTAATTGGCTTTAACCTTCATAATTTTCCCCCTAAATTCTTGCTAGACTGCTTTCACATTCATACAGTTAATACATTTTCAATGACTTTTTTTTTTAGAAACCCTATCTTTTTAGCCAGTACTACTCTATAGTTGTCATTTATCGCTGATATATATCACATTTTATTTTTGAAGTATATAATCTATTCTTTTTAAAAGGTGTAACTTTACATACTTCAACTTAAAAAAGGCTAGTCATAATTTTAGTTGCATGTTTTTAATTAAAGTATCTGCATATGTCACCTTTGGGAACACATCTCTGCCTATATAATCTGAGTTTCTTTATAACTTTTTGATTATATACTGCTTATATATATGGACTCGAGATATAAAGCAAATGGCAATTAAAAAACAACTTCATAGGTCATGGTAATTAGTAATAAGTACACAATCTAATAAATGAACAATAGCATAGGTGTTTTGTCAGGTGAATTGTAAATGATTTTTCCTATTAACTATGAGCCATAGAAAAAAAGGATCATTCCTCATATATCTTTGAATCTAAGGACCTAATAACAAACAATTGAAAAATGAATGAATGTGTTTCCTTTAAGGGCAGCCAAGTAACTTGTACTTTTGAGTTTCTCCTGATTGTTAGCACAATGTTTTACACAAAGAAAACATTCAGTGATTGGCATGAATATTAAAAGAAGGAAAAAAGAAAGGTTCCTGTATCTTTCTTCAGACATGACTCTTTTTCTTTGGGCTGTACTATTATTCTAGGTACTAGGAGATATACATTTTCCACAATGTATGGGTTGTCAAGAGTTCAAATAGATGCTAGATGGACTAGTCCTTCTATTTCTGATTCTTGCCTTTTCCTTCTAATATTTTGTTTAAAAAATTACTTGACACAGAAGGAAGACTATTATTAAACAAGAAGAAAGGAAAAAGGAGGAGGAGGAAAAGGGTGTAAGGGAGGATAATAGGGAGGATGGGTGTGATCAAAACATGTCACATGCATTTATAGAAATGCCACATTGAAACTCAATATTTTAATATGCCCTAATAAAAATATATTTTAAAAAGCACTACTTTAGAATTATTCCTCTGTTAAATTTGACATTTCAAAAAAGGCAAAGTGATGCGTATTTTGATAATTGTGAGAAAAAAATGAAAATCCTAATTTGAATGGGTTCTGTTCATATTTTCTCCTTTCCCATTACATTTATTTAAAAGCATATAATTTATCGAGGAAGTCTCACATACCAAATCTAATGCATGGGAATTTTTCTGATGCATCTAACATTGTTTCTAAAACCTCAATTAATTATCCTATCACATACTGTTCTTAGTTCCAAGCAAAAGAAACTGACTCTTGTGAGGCAGAAAGGAACTTAGGAATGTACGTTTGGTAGTTCCCAAAATGCAGATAAAGGGTAGAAGGCCAGACTCCAGACCAA